GATGTACTCCAATGTAATCCCACCCATTTTGTACTGCATCCATACCCCTTTTTGTGCCACACACTAAGGCATGCAACACAAATCTTTCACTTTCTGCCATCGAAACATTCTCCCACAGCTCTCAGCATGTCTCTTAAAACAAATATTTTAACCTCTTAGACTTGAGAAAGCATGCACAAAGATAGTGATATCCTGGGATGCAGGGGAACCACAGGTGCAGTGAAGACCAGGGTTCAGTGCTATTTAGGTGTGCACTGAGGCTCAGCCTACCTTAGAGGGGTCTGACCCAAATTAGAAAAGACACAAAAGGATCTGTGCTTAGAAGCCACTCTGTTCAACAGTTAGAATAAATAAAGCAGCCAAGTTCCATCAACACATCCCAAAACAGGCAGGACCTGAATGCCTAACCAAGTCCAGGGATTAACATGCAAGAACAAAACGAAAGATCACCACGATTTAGGAGCTTAATGATGGATTATTTATTCACTAGCCTTCTCAGGCAGGTCCTTCCATCTTTCACCCTCAAATCATCCTATGGCTGTACCAATAATTAAATATTTACTAGAGGAGAAAAAGAAAGACACCCTATGGCTCTGAAGCTTAAATCCCTGTACCAATGGTTACCATACAAAAACGGGACCTGCTCGAAGACCAGAGTGACAAAAATAGACTGTTTTCTTCTCTGTGTTTTTGACCAGAAAAACCTTTTGTAAAATTTAACTGCAAATTATATGTTTCTGCAAGGAATTTTCATTTTGTGAGAAAGGCCCAGACTAGTTTTACGTGAGGACCACACACTCCCATGGACAGAAGATGTTGATGCCGATGAATTGCTGCTTTCAGCTGTGAGATTTAATTATTCTCATTCTCTACAGCTGGCATTATTGTGTGGTGATGTGTTTGTCTTCTGACACCTTGGGGGGGAGGATGAAATAAATTTACTACATTCACAGTGCCAAAGGGACAGTTTGAATAAGAAATAAGACCTGCATGTCTATGTCCTCTGTCATAAATGATGAATCCAGGTCCTTTGGATCTTGTTTTCTACCCACACTTACAGAATGGAAACATTTTTTTTAAAGTGTTATAGGAAAATTACACTAAAGTTAAGCCTATTTTGACAAGCCGAAAAAAATTAACTAGTTTATATGGGCCGATGTCTATCTAGCCTGTGTTTCTGAAGCCTTTCCCTTCATTTTTACAGGCTGGCAGGGCCACTAATCCTACTCATTTTCAGTTTGTCAGTCAATAATCATTTATGTGGCACTATGTCTTTGGAAATGACAGCTGAGACAGGATCTGATGCACAGCCTTCCTTCTACAATGCCTTCCTAAATACCAATCCGAGGCACTTGAAAGGACCGAAAACTCCGTATCTGATAATGACATGTTCACCAAGCTTGTCATAAACAAGTTTTCAGGGAAGCTTACAACACCACTGTGCGGGAAATGTCTCTACCTCGATGCCATAATGAAGTCATACAAAGAAGAACAGTCCCTGCCATTGGACATTAACAAGAGTCAACTTTTTTCATTTTGCTCTAAGGCATTTTAATTGTATCACAAGCAGAGACCATCTGGCTTAAGAATGAATATTCAATATCTGCAGCAGAAATGGAAATACATGAGAGGGAAATGGCACTTTCCAGCTTCCAGCTTGCACAGAACCCAACACGAAAACTGGCATGTTGCAGAGTTAGCTAAATTGCAATCTGATGCCTGATCAATGACTTTTTAGGCTATTATCATCTTATTAATTAGTCTACTAGTTTGGATTTTATATTTTAAAAAAGAAGATCAATTTATGTCAAAAATTACTATGGGATAACATACTTCACTGCACTCTGCACAGGACAGTGTCAGCTTATCAGCCTTTATTTGCTGAGAAGTCATAAGGATAGAAATCAATTATTTTTTTGAGGAATAAACTTAATTTCTTGTGTATGACAGGTGCAATTCACATTTATGAAAAATACAAAGAAAACACTGCAAGGTGGAAATGTAAAGAAATAGTACCACAGCAGACAATGACTTTGCTGTGAACGCATTGAGCTGAGAAAGAATGAAACCATTACTTCTAAAGGGAAGGCATTAATTTCACAAATTTTATGACTGTCACCAGACCTTTTAGTTTTGCCTATGTTATTTCTACAGGAGTGCCTCTCACTGCAGCTTGTTGGGGAAAAAAACCCAAACTGATTTGGCAGAGATTTTTCTGAGCTACGTGTAAAGACTAGAAGATAATGTTTTGCAGTTTTGAGGAATCTGAGTTGTTAATACTTTGAGTAAATTATGCATACGTATCACGGCCTATTTACAAGACTGTAGGTTTATCTGTTTAAGTACCTAAATATCTCGAGGCAGCTCGGAGGTGGGTGTTGAGCCAACAGCTTTGTCTACCACACTGAGCTGCCTGAAATATGAGCAACCCAGTGAGAACAAGGGCCACAGTGCATCCCCTAGGAGGTCTTTGACTTGAATACAACTGGGACCTGTGCTGGCAGAAATGCATTTAAAGGCAGTGGAGGCTCTGCCACAATATTTTGGAATTAAATCAAACAATATGTTGACTCTCTCCTGAGGGAATGTGATGTGATGCATTTCCTCACTGGATCTCTCTGGGATGTGCTGCCTATCACAAGTGCCAGATAGCAGTGGGTGAAGCAATTTCCTGCCTGCGTTTAGAAACCACTCTGGAATACTTCAGGGTGATAAAAGTTAGTTAAGCCAATATGATTAGAGAGCTATCACCTAATTTTCACTGCATTACTGCCATAATCCTAGATGAAAGATTCATATAAGTGCACTCAGGAACAAAATTCCAGGGGAGAAGAAATCCATACTACGAAGTATCAGCTAATATTCTCAGACAACTGAATGTTCTTTCTTACTTTGCTCAGGGGAAATTTACCCTTGCGCACAAGACCAACAAGGCTCATTCAGGCTTGAATACTTGATACTATGGCCCTCAGTAGATCACTATTAAAATTGCCAGGCAGGCTTTCAAACGTGAGCTTTCCACTGAGCTAAACATTGTTTTGTGATGCAGTTCTTCCGTAGCTGAACAGGGTGCACCTATGGGATGAAGCATTCCTGAATACAGAGACATATCCTGAGAAATAAGCCAGGAGTAGAAGTTGGAGCTGTAACTCAAAAGTCTAAGGGAGGATGGGAGGAGTGAAAGTAAGAGTTTCTCTCTCATTTGGTTTAGAAGGAAAACACATTGAGTGTTATATAAAAACATGTTGTGATTGATGTGGCACTTAATGCCATGGTCTAGTAAAAATGGTAGGGTTGGACTTGATGATCTTTGAGGTCTCTTTCAACCTGGCTGATTCTATGATTCTATGATTCTATGAAAATCTCAACCTTGATAACTGAAGCATTCAGATATCCAAACCTGAAGTTATTCTGACTCAAAAAGCAATTGATACATTTGTTTTTCATGCAGTACAGACATTGCACATCATGCAGGTCAGTGTGTCTGTCCATCACCTGTTGTAAGGCAGAATTTCTTTAGAGCTGTATGTCCAAAGAATGGGAAGTGATCAGGAGCTATCGGCAGAATGACTAGTAGAGCTGCAAGTATGAGATTCCCTCTTGTGATAAATCCACAGTAATTTTATGTATTCAGTGACATCCCATTCAGTGTCTAAACACTGTCAGTATAACACAAAAATGTCTCCCTGGGTACACCGATAAAATTGGGTGGGATTGAGTGCTGTAAAAACAAGAGAGTCAAAACTCAGACATGGGAATTTTGTTAGAATTTTGTGGCCCCAGAGGAAATGCTGAGCACAGACTAGACACCTACATGAAACTGTTATGTTAGCAAGGTGAGGTAAATCCAATGAAAAAATACCACCACCCAAGACTCACATTTAAATGGCAATTACAAGAGGCAAAACAAGTTAAATGTATATGGTTTGGCAAAGCTGCACTCTGCTTCTTTAAGAATGCATTACATATAACGAGCATTCCTATTACAATTTTATTGCAATATTCAAGGTATATTCAGAAGATACTATTTTTTTAAAATACGGGTTTCTTTGTTTGCATCTTATTTTACAGCCACTCTTTCAGCCTCCCATTTCATTTCTAAAATTAAAGCTAGTGATATTTCCATATCAAAGTTTACAATTAATTTGCTTTGTAGGACATGCCCCTTGATCTAAAATATTTCATTTTAATTAGGATATTTAATTTTCTCTAATGCAGGTTCCATTTACTTAATCCAAAACTACTTTCTGAAAGAGCTATAAGCAGTACATGTTCTCAGCACAAGTCCTCCTAAGGCTTGTCCACATGGGGAGATCACACCTACACAGCTAAACTGATTTCAGATTGATCTACTTACACCAGTACAAAATGTTACCTGTACGTGGGTCTGCCCCATGTTTTATCAAACAGCTCTAAGTTTCCTAACGCAGATCAGGAACGGATAATAAAAAATTAAGTACCATTACAAGTATGTGTTAAATGAAAACTGTCCCACCTCTCAGAGCATGAATGTGTGGGAATGTACATTTTGGAGCAGAGCCACTTCCCACCATCACCTTTGTACAACTTCCTTCTTCCCTTTGCCTTCTTCTCTGTAACGTGTTGTGTACATTTAGACCATGCCAGATCATGTCTGCTCTCATCATGACAGTGTGCAAGACATTTCTGAGGAACACTTTGTATATTCTGGCTCCATATTAGGATGATGTTCTGCCCCTCTGCATGCACAGAGACACATTGATGGATCAGGGCAGAGATAACCAGGGCATGGGCATACACAGTGAAAAGCATTCCCTCCCCTTACTGTGACAGCTCACTCCCTCCATTAAAAATGTTTGGGGGAAAGGCTGTCTTTATCTATTTTATACAACTCATCAGCACAGAGAAATGTATTAAATACCATGCATTATTATAGGCTCTGAAGCACCTTCAGCTCCATGCCAACTGCAGCTTTTACAACGCAGGGGCGCAGCAACAAAATGATTAAAAAAATTACATACCTTGAAAACTAGCCATGCTGTCATCCATTTGACCAATTTCACAACCCAAAAGACATGTTTGTAGAGCTCAGTATTCACTACTCCAGGGTCTACTACATTAGCAGTCACATGGCTTCCATTTGCAGTCAGAAGATGCTGTAGTCGATAGGTAAATAACACAAGGGCAAGTTTGCTTTGGGCATAGGCTCCATGGGGTGAATACGAACATCTGTACACAGCAGAGAAAAAGAGAGGGAGATGCACATGAAAACAACCAGAAGGAAAACAGAATTGCAGAAACATCAAGTGTACCACAATTTGCAATATCCACCAAACAGCTATACATTGAGTTTTCACAAGGAACAGCTTATCACTGTCAGGCATGTTGTTTGCTCAGGTTCTGGTGATTATTCCATCTGACACCAAGTTTTATTTATGGAGGGAAAAATATTGAAATAAAATTACAGAATACCTGCCAGAATCTCTATCTCAGACTACTTAAACTAGAAATACTGAGGCATCTAACTCCAGGCTATCATCACCCAGTGGCCCTCAAAGTACTTTCTCCTTTTTCACTCCCCTCTTCCCAAATAAATGTGCATACCCTGTCCCCACCTAATAAATCCATGCCTGATCATACTACTCCTGTAGTCATTGCACCTGCCCCAGTGACACACAAGATTACACACAGCTAAAGGAATGGATAAAAAGATAGGGCAAGGAGAGCACCTGGAAATGTAACCACAGTTATGGCCTATACAGCCTTTAAAGCAAAGACAGCTCCCTGGGTCTGTGCCAAAGAGGTGTGACAAAGGCACACAAATTCTGGGAGTTACAGCAAAACATTACCTGTTGAGACTCCTCTATATATTTCTCATCTGGATGTCAAGTGTGTCTTTCTTTCAAGTCAAGCTTTCTAGGAACTGCTGATTAGTTGGGTTACATTGCATGCAGGCAGCAGTACATATTTATTTTTTTTAATAAGCAGACTAGTTTCAGGCAGATTAGCAGGTATCTACTTAAAATGCTCCTCCTGACTGAGGGCTCAGCATCACTTCCACAAATTCCTATGCCATGGCAATTCACTCCTGTAATTACTACAGCCTCTCATCTAAGCTCTTTTGTGCCTAGCAAAAGCAGCGGTAAGTGGTGGCACTGCAGACAGCTCACAGGCAAAGCAGGCAGGAGCCTAAAGCAACAGACTCCTGGGGACAGTAAAACCACTCCATTCTCCACTTTGCCTCTGCCAGAGCCTGGGGAAGCAGTGCTGCAGTGCTGCTGCCACTCATGTGGAGCCAGGGGTTAGGCTCCATGGAGCAGCAGGACCCTAGTGATGGTGAAGGGAGATAGAGGGGCACTCACACAGAACCAGAACTCTCCCAACTCCTGCTTCCCTCTAGTTGTTGTCCTTCCTCTGTGGTGGCCACAGCTACAGCTCCATCCTCCACACCTGCACCCTTAGTGGAGCCCAGGCCAGAGATGCTTCTACTCTGCTGGAAAGATTGCCTATGGTTTTCTGTGGCTGCTACTACATGCAAGGTTTTTATTTTGAATGAATAATAAATATATGAGATCTTTTTGTTATCTCATTCTTGCTGAATATATTACTTATAATATCCTATACACTTTACCACAGAAAGCCCTGGATGTCAGCAAAAAGGCTGAATCTCTGCAGAGGTACAAGGCTAGTGAAGCAATTTAACTGTCCATGTTACCTGAAAGGACTCAAAAACTTGGAGACACAACAGCAAATAGTGCAGCTCAGTTAAAGGAAGTAAAAGACAACACTCAAACTCCAGTGCATCTCTTTTCTCTTTTTCTTGTTCCTGCTTTATTCTCGTTCAAGCAAATCACAAACAGTCTACAAAAGCATTCTATAAATTGAAAGACAACAAAAAAAGACAGCTGATAATAAAAAGTTCTTGCAACAGTCAAAGGTATGAGCTGCAACATGGTGGATAGTGCAGCCTGATTATCATAAAGATATCACCTGCACCTTCAGGCAAAATCACCTATTTTAAGAATAAAGAACAATCACTGCATGAATATAAAAGTGCCTTGGCATTAGTCAAGAAACTGCAGCTACATTTTAAATGCAGTAACGTCCATGGTCTGATCTGAGACACTCAAAATGTCACCTTATGCTTTATGCATATTTCAACCCTTTTAACTTGAAGGACCAGATCCTCAGCCACTACGAGCTTCTCCTGTGTGCAGCCACACAGGGCAGAGCTCACGCCACCCATGGGAAGAAGCTCTCATCCCCAGCTGCCTCGGGCAGCCAGCTGGCAGCTAACCCTGGCACTCCTCCATCAGTGCCACCATTCCCCTCTGAATGCAAGCTGGGGCACGGGACAAGCTTCCCGAGCTGAATTCAAGTGATCTTGTCTGGCAAGCAGCTTGCAGAGAAGCAGGGCTGGGGACTACTCTGACTTGTTCTGCCTGGGTCTAGTCTGGCCTTCAGTAACCTTCAGATGCCAGGCAGGAGAATGGTGAATGCTCCCCATGACTTCCCATTCCCACAATTTGTGTGAGTGCTGTTTTGACTTACCTTGTGGCAATGAAGCATGAACTACAAGGGCTGGATCCTCAAAAGCCTTGTACTTTGCATAGATATCTATGTCAGAGAAACATGAGTGCTGAGAAGATATAAAAAGCTACCCAATCAATGAGGAAGCCTTTTATATCACAGTGCAGAGATGCAAATGATTTGCATGGCAGCAGGGTATCAGACTTCAATAACATACTATGGGTATGAAGGACATAAAATTGGATACACTGAGCAGAGACTTTTGGCAGAACCCCTGCAATGATTACCTGCTCTCTTCCCATTTTCTGTGTGTGTTTTTTTGCTTGCCAGGAACCTGACATCAAAGGACTACAAAACACAGAGGAATAACATGTGGCATAGAACCAACAAGGGTTTCCTTGAACAACTGTTTTGTTTGTAAGACCCCATCCATCTTATTAGAATCATGTTGTTTACATGGCATGTTGAAAAAAAAAATCAACTTTGCTTAGTTGACTTCATTACATCCAGTCTTGACTTTATATATCATAAAAACAGGACCACATAGACTCCTGCACCTGTACCACATTTGCATCTCCCATTCACATACATGTAGAATCACAGAAGAGTTTGCATTGAAATGGACCTTTAAAGATCACCTAGCCTCACATCCCTGCCATAAGCAGAGACATTGACACTTGGCAAGGTTGCTTGAAGTCCCATCTAACCTGGCTTTGAACATTTCCAAGGATAGGGCATCCACACTTCCTCTGGACAACTTGTTGCTGTGTAAATCCTCACTGAAAAAAATCATTCCTTTTATCTAACCTAAGTCTCTTTCAGTTTAAAACCATAAAATGTATTCCTCTTACACATAGAATTATCCAGCTTTAAAGCCTATGCATCTAAATCTAGCCTCTCTTGTCACTCTATGCTCTGCATGTACATCTTCTACATTGGATGAAAGTATAATTGTTTAGCAAATAAAATAATATTGACATCATGCATTTCTTCTGAAGGCTCTAAAATCTTTCTGAAATGAAAGGGCATATAAGTGGCCAAACATCCCAAAGAAGAAGACGGCTTACCAGCAAGCTGTGCTGGCACACCAGTGCACATGAGATTCCTGTGACTTTTGGACCCTTGAGGACACAGGGTATTGATGTTTCACAGCAAGGCAGGCAGGCTCTCATGCAGAGAAACTCTGCCTCCTAATTAGGTGATGAGCCAGGCAAAATACTGGTAGCTCCCAGCTCCCAGTGGTATATATGGATGCTAGAGAGATAGGATGTACTAGTGTTTGATGTCCAGGGACACATCCTAATAAATACTGCTCAATCAGCTCAAGTGATGCCAGACAGCACATGCTGTGACATGGCGAGCCTGTACACAGCAGCTAGGAAAAGCAGAGCAAGGACTTGATGGGTAAAAGTCCAGTGAGAAAGTGTGGCATGCCTGGCATTGGTAGCTTGGAGAAGTTCATGCTCACCAATTCATTTGAGTGGGGCTCTCTGTGGACTACTCTTCCTGCCATGGAAAAGAGTCTCCCCTGAGGGATGCCACTCCATAGCATTTTGCCAAATTGGTGTTGATAAAACCAGGCAATGCACAACTCACTAAATGAAAACTACAGGAAGAGTTAAGGCAGACAGAATTTAATTACCGGCTTTGAAATCTGGCCAAGAGAGCAGCAATTTACAAGACCTTCTCCTTCCTTTGAAAATAATGTTTTATTGATTCTATACTGATGAATAAAGAATCAGGATAATGCAAGTTTGGCACTTTGAGTCCAAATAATTTTTAGCAGAAATTCTTGCTTTTGGCTTAAGATTTTTTGCAACACAGGCTACATGTTTGAATTGTCAATTCAAAACTTAGGGAGGAGAAAAGAAAGGGACAGTTTTGTATTTTTTGCCAGAACAAAGTAAGTAGGCATTCAGTTCTGGAGTGAGTGAGTGTCTTGTGGTTTGCTGGTTTTGGGGGTTTTTTTTCCTTCCTTTTCCTTTTTTTCTTCTTTTCCACCAGAAGCTGATTTTGCCACTTATCTCCATGGTGCTGTCTCCAGCAGCAGTCTCTCTAGAGTGCTGGGGCAACGTATTTGCAAAAAGTAATGAGAAGCCAAGTTTCAAACCAAAGCCTGCAGTGGCTAATTAGGTGTTTAAATATGGACTCAGCTGCTATCCCAGTTTGAAAACCGGATCCATATTTAGCACGTCCCTTGGCAGTCATTCCTATTTCTTTTCCGTCTGGCTTTAGCTGGTCTGTGTTCTGTAGTGGTCTCCCACTTAGGTCTACTGATCCCATGTTTATAAAGAGCTTTAAGTTGGTTCAGGGCACCCACTGAGTAACAGGGAAACAAAATTGCTACCTGGCACAGACCAGTTCCTCCACACCTCCTGTGTGCATGGGCTCTCTTGCTGTTAGCTTTTTTGCTCTCCTTAACAGCTCCTTTCACATCACACACACATGTAGGGGAAGCAGATATGGACTGACTGACAGAAGGGTCCAGTGACAGCATCCTTTCCCTTCCTCACATCTTGCTTCAACAGAAGGCTCAGAGGACTTGTGGCCATACTGACTGACACACAGCTCAGTTTAACCCAGACAGCATTAGCAGTGAAGTTTTCCTGATGTGTACCACTTTCACACTGCACTTGTCTTGTGCACATCATCCTCTTTTCACGCCTCACCACGCTTCCCAATTTCCAGTGTGTTAATTT